GAAGTTGAATATCAGGTACAACATGAATGAGACATGTGATTGCAGTTTATAAAATGTACTAGATCGTCCAAGTAGTAAATTCGAAAAGTCCAGAGGGTCGAACTTAATATTGCGTGTGATTATTTAGTTTTTGTCAAGTTCTAGTTGAAAAAAAGTTACAGAGGTTTTGAATTGAGTTTGTTTATAGAATTTAAACTAAAATTAAATATGATTGATTTTTAATTAATTTGATGAAATATGTCAAGGATGTGTCTAGCCTTGATTCCTATTGTATGCTAAATTGACTTTGCTATTGATGCACGTTATTCGATATGAGTATTGATTCCCTAGATTGACTATCTCTAATTCCTTATGAAATAAACCTTTTAATCTTAAATTAATTCTCTATGACTATTAGTCAATTACATATAAAACAAAGCGTTTAACTATCAAGAACGTTTCATTTTCAAGGTAATATCCTTAGACCTATGTAACACAATATAATAAGTATCTAGAAAATATTATACAATGTTAAGCATAACAACATTCATAGGTGTTTCTCTAGAATTTAATCAGTAAGGTCACAAGTGGAATTACATGATTAACAATCCCACTTTTAGAACCTAATACACAAACTCTAATATTTAGTCTTCGAATCTTTGCTTGATCCATCTTGATGATCCTGTAATTTTGTTACTGAATAAAAATGATAAACAACATGGGATGAGAACTAATTTCTCAGTATAAACCTCAAAATTTCCTCATACCATCTCATTAAGTCTTCAGATCACCTTCTGTACACACTTACTGAACTAATAATGATAACATATCTAACTTCCATATAGCCACTTCAGTGAACTCTTGGGAATGACTTACTATTGTTCTATGCTTACCTATCTGAGGTCTAAGAATAAATTACTAGGAATTATATTTTAATCTAATATTAGTTTTAACTAAATCCCGATATAAATGTTTATAACCTCAAATGTGAGGATAATTCGAGAATCTAAATCTATCTGACATGTGAACAGAAAGGAGCCTAATAATTAGAACTACCATTCCAAGACCGTTTTGAGTTCGTGAAATTTTTCTTACCATCATGAATTTGATACATATTATATTTTGGTAAGATTGGAGATAAATTATCTCTACACGTGCTGTCCCACTTACCATGTATTATCCATCCCATCATATAAATGGATAATCCACTTAGCTACGGTGAATCTTTTATTCTCACTTAGCCTTAATTAAACATCTAATAATATACACATAAATATTGTTGTGCATAAGTATACAATTAAATCCTTACTCTATAAGTATACATACTTCCTACAAAAGAACCTTAATTAGCTTAACCATTCACACATCAAGTTATATCCTAGAAACACGAAGTTCATCTCAATCTAATAGTCTCCATGTGCGTTATGATTTCCAAATCATTACCCATAATGTAATTACAAATACATCTTAATCTTTAACATTTCTTAATCATACTTTACTTGATCCTAATTACATCTCAAGAGTGTTTTCTGATTAGCATTACGTAATTACTTAAGGAATAGTTAACCTAATAACTCAAAGGATCATTAGTACTTTTGAATTGGGGTTTTAGGAGATGAAACATGGGCTCACACTCATTTTCTAGAAGAAATTACGGTCTAGACATAATTAGAATTATGACCCATAATTGGCCCATGTGCATCATTTCTTTGCTGGCTTCCGTTGGCGTAACAACTAGAACAAATTAAGACCGTAATTGGCCCAGGTGACACACTTGGTCATATAAACTGTTTACCCAAAAGTTATTCTAATTGTTTCTTAAGCTTAGACAATTATAAAGGGAACATCCTATATGGTACCATGGATATGTGACCATTACCTGAAACAAGGTTAATGCTAAACTCAATTTCACGTTTTGGAGGTAGACAACTTAAATATTCGGGAAACACTTCAGGGAACTCACACACAATTAGTACATCTTACAATAACAATATTTTCTCAAATTTCAAGGAGGATAAGATCGTGCATAAATGGGTCCTTTTTTTAAGGGTTCCTTCATCTGGTTGGAAGATAAAATGCTTAACTTGCTACTTTCTTCTAGCTTAACGAATTCTATAGTTTTGTCAAAGTACTTAACATGAACAAGATTTGTGGAGAACCAATCCATGCTAACTATCACATCAACTAGACTCAAGGATAAACACGCCAAATTAACTTGAAACTTTCTCTCACATACATTGATAGGGACATTTAAACATGAATTAAAGGCTCAACAAAATTACTAGTTAGGGTTCCCACAGTCAAGTCATATCATAAAAGAGATACAATTAATCCTAAATGTTTAACATAATCTAGAGATACAAATAAACTAGTGGCACCACAATCAAATAACACAAATAAAAGAGTATTGATTATGAGACAAGTACCTTGGATCTTGTTGTCATTCTTAGGCTCTTCTTTACTAAGAACAAATAATATTCCATTGGCTTTAGTTCGACTGGCTTGGGAATCTTGGCTTCCTTGTATGTAATTCTCCTTGGCTGTGCACACGTGCTACATATATGGCCTTGTTGATAACAATTGAAATAAGTAATTGCTTTACTACATACAGATGAGACATGACCTTCCTTAACATACTTGAAACATCTCATAAGACTAACATGACCATCCTTATTAACACTATTTTAACTTGAAGTTGAGCTCCTATAATTACTATTTCAGTTATTGATTCCTTGACTATTGAAAATCCCTTTACCATTTACACTACCTTGATTACTGTCATTTTCTTTTCTATTTGAATGGTTATATTGTTGATAGTTCAAGTAGGATACAAACCAGAAAAGTATGGTTTACCTTTATTCTAATACATAGGCCTTTTGTCCTCATATTGATAATGCCTCGATATTGTACCTTCTTTGCACGATTGTCTTCATCTTAAATTGTGCTCTTGTTAACCAAGGTAGGAAAATCACATATCTCTTACACCCCACTTGTTTCTTAATTTCTTGCTTGAGCCCTTTTCAAATTTTATACACTTTGATCTCTCTCCAATATCTCCTACATAAAAGCGGGTAAAACTTAGACAATTCATCAAACTTGGTGGCATACTTCGCCACAAACACGTTCCCTTGTTTCAACTTAACAAACTCAACTTCCTTAGGATTAAGAAATTCTTCAGGAAAGTACTTAAACAAGAACATTTCTCGAAAAATAATCCAAGTGATTTTAGTCATTCATACACTACCAAATAACAATCAAACTCGTCATATTTGGACAACAACTTTCCATTTAATATGTAAAAATTAAATAAGACAAAAGTGGAATAATAAACATAAAACAATATCATAAAACAATATAAAAATATTATAATGAAAAGAAAAAAGGAGATGAGAGATTAATGAAGATGAAAAGGAAATAACATAAGAGAAGAAGATGTGTGATAAAAATAATTTTGAAAGAAGGAACAATTGCATAAAAATGAGAAGGTGAAAAAGAAAGAATATGATAAAATAGAGATTAGATAAGAAAAGATAAGATGTATGTGACGAAGAATGCACGATAATGCTATGAGATATTTGAGAAGACTCCAACTAAAATCCTAAGAGTGTGTTTGTTTCAATGATTAAAATTATAATCCTGAGAATGTTATTCCTGAAAACATTATTACTAGGAATTTTATTCCCGTCTATATGTTTGGTGACTAATTTAAGTTCCTAAAAGTATTTATAAAATATATTTAAATTTAAATTTTAAAATAAATAATAAATGAATTAAAACATTTGAAAGTGAGAAGTTATAAGTGGTTAGTTCTTATTCCCGTGAGAACAAAAGATTCCCACCCTATAATATGAAAATAAAAAGTGATAAAACCACGTGCAAAATAAGTTATTGGGAATACAAAATTCTAAGACATATTTAAGGATGACAACGGGGCGGATCGGGATGGATTTAAGCACACTCAGACCCGTACCCACCATCCAGACTCAGATCCGCCCTCGCCCCAAATTCGATTGAGGTTAATATTTATTTTCCACTCCGCCCCCAACAAAAAACAGGTTTCCCCGCACCCGCCCGAATAAGATTTTAATTTTTTTAAATTTATATTTTTTTTTCAATAAAATAAAAAATCAATAATTAAACTAAATAATAAATTATTTTAAAAGTATTTTTTATGTTTGATATTTTTATTTAAATTGTATTTTAAAAATAAATAAATAATAATTCTAATAAACATGATATTATAACATTAAAAAGTGTAAGCGAGTAATAAACCTATTAAAAATAAATTAAATAAACTAAATTTAATTGACGGATGCAAGTGCAGGGCGGATACTAGCATCATCCGCCCCCACATCTGCACCCGTAAATAAAAATCGAGTTTTCCCCGGACCTGCACCCGCCCTCAGTTAAATCAGATTTTTCCGATAATTTCAAGACGGGGACAGCCGGGGCCCGACGGGGGCAGATTTATTTGCCACGCTTAGACACATTTTCTTAAAACTTGAAACAAACATTGAAATGAAAGACATTCCAACCTATCTGAAAATAAATTTACAATTCAAAAAACAAATAATCCATAAGTGTAAGGAAGAGAAAATCGTTCGCAATCATAATACTAATGTACAATAAATTGAAGTTTGAGTTGCATGTGAGTTAAATAAAATTTAAGTAGTAACATAATACATTTTGTTTCTGTTTACAAAATAGAAATCAAACAAAACCGTGATTTGGATAAAATATAATTCAAACACATCCAAATCAAATATGATTTTTTATAATTTTTCAATTTAATTTAATTTACAAAATTTGATTGGTTCGATTTTAAACACCCCTATAAATAATAATCTTTAACAAAATTTATTCAATTAAAATAAATCTTCGTCAAATTACTATCATTTTTAATTATTATTCACTAATTTTAAAAAATTATTATTCACTAAAATCCCTAAATTCTTAAAAGAAATCTATAATACTTAAAGAAGAAAAAACTAAAATCCCCAAACTCTTAGACAATTAAAAAAAAAAAAAAACTCAGATCCCTTTTCCCGAGCACCGCCTCCACTGCGATTGCTGATTGTCACCATCGCAATCTGCGACGACTGTTGTGTCACCGCCCGCGACCTGCAACGGCGTCATTCTCGATCAGTTGCGCGCAAACCTTTTCCTGCTTGTGACTGTCTCAAAGGCGCCACAAATCTGATTGAAGGTAATCACGGTGTTTGTTCTTCGTTGAATTTGTATGAATGTTTCTGGTTGTTATCATTAGTAAATCCTACTTTCGAATTTTGAAAAAATGAGAAAAAATTGAATTATTAGTTAGTGATCTATTTCATAAAACCAAAATCTGATACTCTGAAAAAAAAAAAGGTGTGGCCGCGTCAGTGTATGTGACGGTTTCGAACACCTACATTTAATATATTATTTTTTTAAATTATTATTGATGTCGACATATCAGTGTCGGTGTCGTATTTCTGGTCTATGTACTTCATAGATCAGAATTGATAACTGATGTGCTAATGACAAAAGAAGTTAGTAATGATAATTTTGAAGCAGATTTGATGTAAACATTAGTAATCATAGGAGAAGTAAAAATTTACACCAAGTTGTTAGGAAACATTTTACCTCAATTGTTCTAAATCCATATCTAATTAACTATAGATACATTTAACCAAAATTGACATTAACCATATATCAATATAACTTCCAAACAAGAGGTAGAACAAGACTTATGTTTATTTATGTAAGTGTCATAACCTTAACTCATTTTATTTTTAGAAGGTACAACTAACCAACATAAGAATCGGGCTTAAGTTTGAAAAACTGCCAATTTTTATGATTTTATTCATAGAGGATTTTGGAAGCTAAGGGACAACACAAATTTCCCTAAGTCTCTTCTCAATTTTCTTTTCAATTTCATTTATTTGCCACAAGAAATCCATCATCAAATCTTCTTTGTTGCTTCTCCCTCTAACATAGATGCTAGATTTTGTTTAGTTGATTTCTTGTGAAGAATCAACAATTGGGTTGGTTGGGTTTTGTTTGTAGACTCACGAAAGAGTAATAAGTTCCACTTGGTCCCTTAGCCAACAAAGATGAATGTGTTCCTTTCTCAACAACACTTCCCTTATCCAAAACAGCAATCAAATCACAGTTTTGTATAGTACTCAACCTATGAGCCACAACCACACTTGTCCTTCCAACCATAACCCTTTCTAAAGCATCTTGCACTAGTTTCTCTGATTGGCTGTCAAGTGCACTTGTTGCTTCATCCAAAAGCAAAACTCTTGGATTCTTCAATATAGCTCTAGCTATTGCAATTCTTTGTTTTTGACCACCACTTAGTTGAACTCCTTTATTACCACACCATGTTTCATAACCATCTTTTAAGCTTGATATGAAATCATGAGCATTTGCAGCCTTTGCAGCTTCAATGATCTCACTCTCATCAACTTTATCATCATATGCTCCATATGCTATATTGTCCCTTATGGTACCACCAAACAATGTTGGTTCTTGATTCACAAGTGCAATGTGTTTCCTTAATGATCTTAGATTATAAGACTTTATGTCTCTACCATCTACTGTCACCGTTCCTTTAAAAGGATCATAGAATCTCTCAATTAGTCCTATGATTGTTGATTTTCCTGAACCACTTTCCCCGACCAAAGCTGTTGATTTTCCGGCGTCAATTTCAATAGAGAACCCTTGAAAGATCATCAAATTAGGTCTAGCCGGATATGCAAAATGCACATCATGAAGTTCAATCTTCCCTATTAATTTTTCAACCTTGTAACCTTCTAAATCATCTGGCTCAATTTTTGTATACCTATCGAGGACAGCGAAAACCGATCCAACGGCACTGGAACCTTTAGCAAAATCATTAGTCATGCTACTAGCAGCATTAGCAATAACTTTTCCAGTGCTTATCCAAATCATAGTAGTCTCAAAAAATGCATTCTTTGTTATATATCCTTGTGACACAAGTTTTCCTCCATACCAAAAGTTTAAGGCTCTAGTGCAAAAAATGAGACTTTGTGAACATGCAAGCCCAATACCTGCAAACCATGATTGTCTAATATTTTCATGACTTGGCCCTTGTTGGGATTTTTCAAGCATTTTAAGGATTCTATTTTGTGATGAAAAAGATGTGATGGTTCTTAGATTTGAAACAGCTTCAGCAGCAATTTTGCTACTTTCATCTTGGGCCTTAATGGCTTTGCTTGACATCTTGTTAAGAAGGACACACCTTATGTAGAAACAAAATATGCTAATTGGCTGAACTACTATCATAACAATGGATAGTCTCCAAGTAATGATTAGGCCCATTGTGAATGTTACTGCCACTGCTGATATAGTTTGTATCATTACTGACAATCTATCCCCCACCAACGATCTTACCTGTATTATTAATTTTAAAATATTTTATGTTTGTCTTCTTAGTATATATAGTTTTTATATTATATATCTCTAACATAACATGCAATTTTTTTAAAATAATTGAGAACATACCACATTGGCTTCTTTGGCAAGTCTAGAGCAAACAGCACCTGTAGAATTTTGATCCTCATCAAACCAACCAACTTCAAAAGTGAGTATCTTTGAAAACATTCTTTCTCTAACCCTCTTAGTCAAGTACTCTCCCATGTAAGCAAAGCTATAATGTTGAAGTACATTAAAAACCATTGTGGACAAAGCCAACCCTAGAAAACAAAATGCATAGATCCTAATTTGTTTCTTGATCTCATCATGGTCCTCCAGAAAATAAACTGATGCAACTGACCCTGTTGCAAATGCATACACAGGTTGAACTGCACTGAATAAAATCGCGTTCAAACACCCCAAACACACTTGCCTCCACTCTGGAAAGTTCATTGCCAACAATCTTCGAAACGAAGGAACCTTTACCTTCTCCTTCTTCTCCCTCTCGTCATTTTTATTATTATTATTATTATTATTATTATTATTATTATTATTATTATTATTATTATTATTATTATTATTATTATTAAATACCTCAACATCATTAACGATATCTCCAACAACATTTTTATCATTAGCAATATCACCACTGCTACGTGTCATTGAGTCGAAAGAGCTAGAATGAGTCGCGAGTCTATAACTACTCGTGTTTTGCATGTGATCTATATTAATGATAGACGGAGTATCGTCGCTTTGGTCATTCTTGGTTTGTTGGAGAAGAACGAGGGAAGTGTAGAGAGAACTATCATTTTGAATGAGGCTTTTGTGAGATCCCGTTTCCACGATCTTACCATTTTGAACGAATGCAATGATGTCTGCATTTTGGATAGTCGATAAGCGGTGAGCGATGATGATGGTGGTGCGTCCAACCACGGCTTTGTCTAGAGCTTCTTGGACGATTCGTTCGGATTCAGAATCGAGTGCACTTGTTGCTTCATCTAACAATAAAATTCTTGGCATTTTTATTATGGCTCTTGCAATGGCAATCCTTTGCTTTTGTCCTCCTGACATTTGTATTCCCCTCTCCCCAACCTGTAGTAGTAAAGCATACAATTAACATCTTAACTTTAACCTAACATTATTCTCTAATTTAGTGGAATTAGTTTGATTCATGCAACTTGAAAGGGAAAGATAAGGTGCTTCATGTACGTGGACCACTATATTAGTGTTTTTTTTTGTTTGTATGAAATTATTGTAACAGATTTCACCTGATGAAGAATATCATTAAAACAGAATTATTCATGCTCCCTATGATATCATTGGCATTGATTCTGTTGGCAATATCTAATATAGTATAAGGAATATAAACAATTGTATAAGTAATTAAAAATAAATTTTAAGTGAGAATGTCCAAAAACCATTTTGGGTTATTATATAGTAGTATATATCATTATTGGAGTAGAAACTTGAATAACACGTTTCTAATTGTTTCTGTTGATTAAAGTGGATGAATATGATATGATAGCACTTACCAAAAGTTGAACATTACGTAATAATATTTGAATAATCATGTTATCTACAGCCAACTTGTTTGTGTTGATTAAGTTGCTTAAAGTGGAGATATGATAGCACTTACCAAAAGTTGAACATTAATAATATTTGAATAATCATGTTATGATAGGCATAATATTTTTAGCTTAAAAGCATTTACTCCCTTTATTTACTTGAAATTAGATTTTAGTCCCCTGATAGTAAGTTTTAAATTTTAGTTCTTCAAGTTTCACAAATTTTAGAGTTTTTCTTCACAACCTAGTTTTGGACTTACTTTTCATAGCTTTTATTAGGGGTGGCAAACGGGTATGCCCGCCCCGCAAGAGTCCTAAAAAAATGGGGCGGGACGGACATTGTTGAGGATGCGGGTCTAAAACATATCCCCGCCCCGCAAATAAGTGAGGGCGGAGCGGGGAAATCCCGCGGGCACTGCTTCTTTTTAAGCCTAAAAACACAAAAATTTATGTAAATGCACGTGTCCGCAAAGCCCGCGTAGAAAACGGGGCGGGGCGGGACGGACATATTAGAGGGTGTGGGCCTAAACTCTTGGCCCATCCCGCACTAAAGTGCTGGCAAAACGGACATGTCCAACAGACAACTGACCAAATCTGTTTTGCCACCCCTAGTTTTTATCATGATGAGGAATTATATTTGATGATGTTATATTTCTAATTTTGGAATGAAAAATCTTATTACAACCTTTTTATTTTACAATTTCATTGGTCAAATATAAACTCATTATTCTGAAATGCATTGGTTTCTGATCCAAATCAGAAGTGTCAGATAATGAAATGTAATTCCACATATGACAAGTCAAAAAATAAACTTCATAACTAGTAGTGCTACAATTTAGAATCATATCTTTAATCTTTCATGATTTTATTAGAATAGGAAAGTTCCACTTAGTTATATTTGGTTCATAGCATAATGACTAAAGCAATTAGCACTAACCTGAGTATCATATCCTTGTGGCAACATAGAAATAAAATTATGAGCATTAGAAGCTTTAGCAGCATCAACAATCTCTTCATATGTAGCATCCTCTCTTCCAAAAAGTATATTCTCTTTAATACTTGTTGCAAACAAAGCAGGCTCTTGACTCACCAATCCCATTTGAGATCTAAGCCATTTGAGTTGCAACTTATGAATAGCAACTCCATCAAAAAGAATCTCTCCACCAATTGGATCATAAAACCTTTGCAAAAGTGATATTACAGTTGATTTTCCCGAGCCACTTCCTCCTACTAATGCAACTGTTTTACCGGATGGAATCTTTAGACAAAAATTATTTAAGATCACACTTTCTGGCCTTGCTGGAT